GAATGCGCCACGTGTAATTTTCGGGGCCTGGGGTTGTGCGTTTATGTGAACGGGAATGTGCCACCTGAGAACGGGCAAAGGTTCACGCCATCGAGTGTTTCTTCCGCGCCCACACCCAAGGGGCGGACTCACTCGCTGCCGGCTTCGCCAGGGCCGCGACAAGCTCGTCGGCATGCCGCCACGCAAGCGCAAGGCGGCTGAGGCCTCCGCGCCGGTGGTGGTCGAGCTCTCATCCGACGACGAGCCGGCGGCCGACTCGCGCCGTCGCTCGCGGCGCAAGCAGGTTCGCGCACATGCGCCTCGCTCTGTGTGGCGTGCGTACAGCCGCCCCTAACGCGCGTCCGCCTTGACCGGACAGAACGCCAACCACGAGCCGATGGTCCGGATCGGCGACGGAGGTCGCGAGCCCATCTGCCTCACCTGGGGTGACTACCGCCGGCTCGGCACGCCAGACGGCACGGTCGGCCCGGAGCAGCTGCTTCTCAACGACACCCTGGTCGAATGGTACCTGCGCTTCAAGCTCGAGAAGCAGCTGCGCCAGCTCGGGCTCGCCGAGCGGACCTACATCTTCTCCACTTTCTTCATCAAGCGCCTCCGCCTCGCCCTGCAGCGCCGAGGCGCCTCTAGACGCAACTGCGGCAGACGCCTCCCTCGCAGCACACACACACCAGCAGACACACGCACACGCACACGCACACGCACACGCACACGCACACGCACACGCACACGCACACGCACACGCACACGCGCGCACTCACGACGGTCCGCCCGCGGCCCGCTGGTCGGCAGGAGAGACGCTGCGCAAGCTGCTCAAGTGGGTCGCGGGAGTGGACCTGCTCTCCAAGGCGAGAGAGGAGCCGAGAGGAGCCGAGAGGGGCCGAGAGGGGCCGAGAGGGGCCGAGGCTGGCTCAAGTCGGCCGCGAGATCGGACCTGCTCTCTCAGGCGGCAAACACAGATCAGCTCGAGATCAGCCCGCGATCAGCGCGAGATCAGCGCGAGATCGGCCCGAGATCAGCCGGAAGTCAGCCGGAGATCGGCCCGAGGTGAGCTCGAGGCCCTCGCCCGCAGGCCCTGCTCGTCGTCCCCGTCCACGAGCCCCGCCTCGGGGGCCACTGGTCCCTCGTCGTCGTCTGCTTCCCAGGCTCGCGCCGCCTCAGCAGTGTAGCCAGCAGCAGCACCCGCCAGCCCGCCACCAGCCCGCCACCAGCCAGCCCAC